CGGCGTCTTGAGGTGCACTCAATCCTCAAGACCAGCCTCTCTGCATATGCATGCCAACTGGTTTCGCCCTGCCTTGGGCTCATCAGGGAGGCCTCCCTGATGAGCCCAAGGCAGGGCGAAACCAGTTGGCATGCGTATGCAGAGATGCTGATCTTGAGGAATGAGTGCACCTCAAGACGCCGCACGGACTTCGGAAGTCTATGTCCGTGACAAGTGGTATCAGAGCCTGGTTCGTAGCTCAGCAAGTGAGAAAGAACCTCGAGTAGATGGCTGGATCCGGAAGCGAAGTTCACAACAATGATGAACAACGCGGTCGTGAGGAGAAGAAGGATCCAAACAACAAGAAGAATCGTGATGGATCAACTCGAGAACCTTTGGTGGCAATCGAGTCGAGGCTCAAAAGAGCGGAGACGAAGATTGCCAAGCATACAACCTTGTTCGAGGACATGGAGTCGAAATTCGATCAAGTCAGCGGAGAGGTGCAGACTTCGAAGGACGACATGCAAGGCATGGGCACTCGAATGTCAGGCTTGGAGGTGGGGTTAGAAGCTTTCATAAACGAATTTGTGACCATCATCACCAACGCCATCGACTCCTTGAGGGAGACCGTTCGAGGCCAGGTAGACGAAGTGAGGGAAGAATTTGACGAGCTTCGAGGAGAGCTCAATCTCGTCAAGAGAGCCGTGGCTAACGGACCTGCCGCGACTCAATCTACTCCACGAGTTGATGTTCCAAGGCCAAAGAACTTCGGTGGGTCGAGGAACGCGAGGGAATTAGAGAATTTCCTATGGAGCCTTGAGCAATATTTCAAGGCCTCGGGCATCGATGACAATGAAGTCATGGTGCGCACCGCCTCCCTTTACTTGGTCGACACGGCCATGGTGTGGTGGAGAAGGAGGTAAGGCGACGTAGAGAGAGGCACATGTGTGATCGACACATGGGAGGATTTCCGTCGAGAAATCAAGAAGCAGTTCTACCCGGAAAATGTGGAAATGGAGGCTCGTGCAAAGCTTCGACGACTCACCCACACCGGCGGAATTCGTGAGTATGTCAAGGAGTTCTCGGAATTGCTAATCGAGATCCCCGATCTGCCGGACAAGGAGGCTTTGTTTGGCTTCCTTTTCGGATTGCAGCCTTGGGTGAAGCTAGAGCTCGAGAGGCGTGGAGTGCAAGATCTTGCTACTGCCTTAGCAACGGCAGAGGCTCTCACGGAGTACAAGAAGAATGAGAGGCCGAACGAGTCGAAGAACTCGAAGAGCAAAGGAGGAGGAGATCATCGGCAGCACTCCAAAGAAGGAAAAGGCTCGTACCAACATGGAGGCTCGAGCAAGGGGGCAAGATCTGGTAACTTTGACAAACCCATGTCTTGTTTTCTTTGCAATGGTCCACATAAGGTGCGAGATTGCCCAAAGAAGAGCAAGCTAGCAGCCTTGGAGAAACAAGAAGGGGAGACCAAGGAGAATGCTAGGGAAGACGAAGGGAAGATAGGCTCCATGCGGAGACTAGGCGCGGCGAAGTCCGGCGCCAACGAAGTTAGCAAGGGGAGATTCTTTGTGATCACCCAATTCGAGGGAGGCGAGTCAAAAGCATTGGTTGACACCGGTGCGACCGACAAATTCCTTCGAGTGGAGGAGGCGGAGCGCTTGGGGATCGCTTACGAGAGAAGGCAAGGATCGCTCAAGACCGTCAATTCCGAGGCAATACCCATCCATGGGGTTGCCAAAAACGTGCCCTTGAAGATTGAAGGTTGGGAAGGTGCTGCCGACTTTAGCGTCATCACTATGGATGACCATCCGGTCATTCTTGGCGTCAACTTCATGGAGAAAGAAGGTGCGGTGATGGCAATGAAGTCCAACACTCTTTGCCTTGACAAGGGAGACAAATTTTGCGAGGTGAAGATGTTGCGCGAAGAAGGGCCGAAAAGAGCTTTATCGGCCATGCAGTTGGTGAAGGGAATGAAGAGGAATGAACCCACGTTCCTTGTCACTTTGCAAACAAAGGAAGAAGAAGGCTCGGTGGCGTCAACACCTCTCATCGAGGGCGTGTTGGAGGAGTTCGTGGATGTGATGCCAAAGGAACTACCAAAGAAGCTCCCGCCAAGAAGAGAAGTCGATCACAAGATCGAGCTTGAGCAAGGAGCGACGCCACCAGCGAGAGCACCTTATCGCATGGCCCCTCCCGAGTTGGAGGAATTGAGGAAGCAACTCAAGGAGTTGATGGATGCTGGTTTCATCCAATCATCAAAATCCCCCTATGGAGCACCCGTTTTGTTCCAGAAGAAGAAGGATGGCGTTGCGAATGTGCATAGATTATCGAGCTATTAACAAGCTCACGGTGAAGAACAAGTGGCCCATCCCCAATATTGGTGACTTGTTTGATCAACTCGGAGAAGCAAAGTGGTTCACGAAGCTTGATCTTCGCTCGGGGTACTACCAAGTGAGGATCGCCGAGGGGGACGAGGTAAAGACCGCTTGCGTCACGAGGTATGGCTCATACGAGTTCCTTGTTATGCCTTTTGGACTAACCAACGCTCCTGCTACTTTTTGCACCTTGATGAACCAAGTTTTCGAGCCGTTCTTGGATCGCTTCGTGGTGGTGTACTTGGATGACATCGTGGTGTACAGCAACACACTCGATGAACATGCCGAGCACTTACGACAAGTGTTCCAAGTCCTTCGAGACAACGAGCTCTACGTCAAGAAGGAGAAGTGCACTTTTGCAGCCGCGGAGGTTCCTTTCCTAGGCCACATCATTGGCGGAGGCAAGCTAAAGATGGACGAAGCAAAGGTGGAGGCAATACGAGGATGGGAGCCGCCAACGAGAGTCACCGAGTTGCGATCATTCCTCGGCCTGGCCAACTATTATAGGAGATTCATCAAGGGATACTCCGCTCTTGCAGCACCCTTGACGGATCTTCTAAAGAAGAACAAGGCTTGGGAATGGTCGGATCGGTGCCGCGAAGCATTTGAAGCCTTGAAGGATGCGGTGACGAAGGAGCCAGTGTTAGCACTTCCCGATCCAACGAAGGCGTATGAAGTGCAGACGGATGCTTCCGATTTTGCAATCGGTGGGGTGTTGATGCAAGAAGAGCACCCAATTGCTTTTGAGTGCCGCAAGCTCAACGATGCGGAGAGGAGATATGCGGTGCAAGAGAAGGAGATGACGGCGGTAGTCCATTGTTTGAGAACGTGGAGGCATTACTTGCTTGGGTCGAAGTTCGTTGTAAAGACGGACAATGTGGCGACGAGTTACTTCCTCACACAGAAGAAGCTCACGCCCAAGCAAGCAAGGTGGCAGGATTTCCTCGCGGAGTTCGACTTTGTGCTAGAGTACAAGCCGGGGAAAGCAAACTTTGTGGCCGATGCTCTTAGCCGAAAGAGCGCACTTGCCGCCATCAGCCAGCCGCAATTCCCCTTGAAGAAGAGGATCGAAGAAGGCCTTAGCCACGACCCCTTCGCCAAAACTGTGGTCGAGTACATCAACCAAGGGAAGACTCGGCGGTTTTGGATGAAAGGGGGGCTCATCGTGACTAAGGGGGAGCGAGTGTTCGTGCCGCGGTGGGACAACCTACGAAGGGAGATCATGAAGGAGTGCCACGACTCCAAGTGGGCTGGTCACCCCGGCATTGAGTGCACACAAGCTCTCATCGAGGAGGCTTACTATTGGCCTCGTATGAAGGATGACGTGGAACTCTACGTCAAGACTTGTCTTGTTTGCCAGCAAGACAAGATGGAGCAGCGGAGTCCGGCGGGATTGTTGGAGCCACTACCTACTCCACAACGGCCTTGGGAAAGCGTGAGCATGGATTTCATAATCGGTCTTCCCAAAGTCGAAGGGTGTGGTTCCATCATGGTCGTCGTCGGCAGATTTTCAAAGTATGGCGTCTTCATCGCGGGGCCCAAAGACATGACGGCCGAGGATGCAGCCCGCTTGTTTTTCAAGCATGTCGTGAAGTATTGGGGCATCCCGGTTAGCATCGTCAGCGATAGAGACGGCCGCTTCACCGGCAAGTTTTGGAGGGAGTTGTTCAAGATGATGGGCTCCGATCTAAACTTCTCCACGAGCTTTCATCCTCAAACGGATGGGCAAACCGAGCGGGTCAATGCTTTGGTGGAGGTCTACTTGAGGCATTATGTGAGTGCCAACCAGAAGGATTGGGTGAAGCTATTGGATGTAGCCCAATTCTCCTACGACTTACACCGAAGTGAAGCCACGAGCATGAGTCCGTTCGAGGTGGCTACCGGGCAACAGCCGTTGACACCTAATACGGTGACGACGGGGTACAAGGGCAACAGCCCTTCTGCCTACAAGTTTGCACGAGGGTGGCACGAGAAGATGGAGTTGGCGAAGTCTTATCTCGCTCGAGCAAAGAAGAAGATGAAGAAGTGGGCGGATAAGAAGCGGCGTCACTTGGAATTCGAGGAGGGAGACTTGGTGATGGTGAAGTTCTTCCCTCATCGATTCAACCACCTCAAAAATGTGCACAAGGAGCTGCTGCGACGATATGAAGGGCCTTATCCGATCTTGAAGCGGATTGGCACGGTGGCGTACAAAGTCGAGTTGCCATCGCACTTGGAGATTCATCCCGTCTTCCATGTGAGTCAATTGAAGCCATATCATGAAGACAAGGAAGATGGAGCACGGAAGGAGTCGACGAGGGCACCAACTCTCGTCACCACAACACATGAGCACGAAGTGGAGGAGATCTTGGCTCATCGTGTTGTGCCTAGGCGTGGTGTTCATCCAAGCTACGTGGAATATCTTGTCAAGTGGAAGGGGCGGCCAGAAAGCAACATCACATGGGAGAATGAGCTTTCGCTATGGCGTCACAAAGACTTGATCGAGGCATTTCATGCGGAGTCCGCGACGAGGGCGTCGCGAGATTGAGTGGGGGAGAATGTTACGGAGAAGATTCTAGAGCATTCTAGAAGGATGTAGGTACATGCATGCATCTTGCAATTCATGCACCAATGTACATACATCCCCCCTTTCCTATCTTTTATTCATGCACCTATTTATTATGATTCATGTATGAGTGCTTATGCATTCACCTTATTAATTACATTCATGTATGGGGCTAGTTCATGTATGGGGGGACTTCTAGGTTCGTTCATTAATGACGGCCATGTACATTGTACTTAGTGGAGAGGATGCCTATATAAGGAGCCCTCTCCACCACTTTTCATTCATCCAGAAATTGAGAGTTTTCCATCTCTAGAGAATTTCCCAACTTGTGAGTTTGAGTGAATACGAGCAAGGCTGACTTAGTGCTCTAACGAGACTTGAGTGCTAAGTGCCGCACGGCCAAGAGTTGATCTGTGACAGTAGCCGCCCTAGTCCTGCAACACCTGGAATTGTGGAGATAACTACGACAGATCAGCAGAAGAAACTGACCAAAAAGCTTTCCCTCACAATTCTTCTTCCTCTAAGCAACAGAAGGAGGTTAAACAAGAGCATCTGAGACCTGACTGTGTCTTCTACTTAGAAGTCGCGGCAACTGACTCTGCTGAATAATCTTGCAACCCACATACGAGATTTGCAGGAACAGCCACATCGATCATCTTAGGGTATGGAAGATTAAGATCTACAGAATAGCTTAATATGCTCAGGGTCACCCTTGGAATGGCTAGTTGACCACTGGTAGTCCAGAATATATGAGTAGTAATTAGTGTCACTTACTTTCCATGATGCTCTTGAATGTTTCCTGCAAAAAAAGGTAGTTAAAGAAGACAGCTTAAGCAAAGGGGGGCAAAGTTTAACAACTAACAATGTGGACAAATTTCAAACGTCAATTGGTAATAACTGACTCCCAGATACCTAAGTAATTGGAAGTATCAAGGTAGATTTCTCAAGTGACATTAGAATATGGGGCTAACAAAGATACCTCGCCTTTGGTGAGCCGGGGATTATATTGGATCTCCTCTCCAACTGTGCTGACCTGCAAAACAAAACAAAAAACAAGGTTTGGGATTGTACATCCTATTGAATTAGTCGCTTTAATCACATTCCTCGGAGATGGTCCATACAGTGAATCCTTTGTAATCATGAGCAGGATAGATGTAGGTATCCTTGGGCAAGGTGAAGATCTGGTGCAATAGAAACCAAGAAAAACGTAACTACGACAAATACAAATTTGAAGGTTTTGAAAAGGATTGGAACCCCATTCTCGTCCCATCTTCTTGCCTGAGAATGCACAGAATGGTAGAGTTGATGCGAGCTCCCACCCTGCAAATAATTTGGCATAAGGCTCAATCTAGCCTATAAATGTATCTTTCAAGACACACCAATCAATAATTAAAGCATAAACATGCTCATTTCCAAATCTTCCAAGCACAGTAACATGAATAGACTATTAAGGGTGGAAGTCTTAATGTGGAGCAAAGAGAAACCTGAAAATCAGTTCGTCCACACCCCCGTATCAACAAGGTGTCCCCAGTGAAGGCCATCCTTGGGGTTGGTTGGTCAGGACCATCTCCTGTAACATAGGTGACACAGCCCTGTGTGTGCCCAGGAGTAGCTCTAACCTGCCAAAAATTTCCACATGGGTAGGTATCTAAATAGAAGATAAGCAGCAGATACTAGAAGGTAGCTGCAAAAACAAATTAACCATGTTGAGTCAGGTTTGAGAGATCCCCCACTTACTCTTATCCAAAGTTCACCACAAACCAGTGAGTACAAGTCATAACCTTGCGCGCTATTATCACAATTTTCCAGTAACAACCAAATTCAAGTCAAGAAGACACATGTAGCAGCATGCTTACCTCCAGGAAAAGATCTCCAAAGTAGATCTTGTCTCCTGCTTCAATGTGCATATCAGCTTTAGAATTGCTTGCTTTTGAGATAACAGACTTTACACCAGGAACCTTTGTCTGTAAAATAAGGTTTGAGAGATCAGCGGAATTACAGTGCCATAGAGCCACACAAATGGGAAATGCAGAGTACTGAAAATCGACAAATGAAACCAGCATCGACAAGTTGCAAACCTTTAGTAACCCAGTGCCAGTAATATGGTCAGCATGGACATGAGTGTTTATGGCGTAAATCAGCCTTAATCCCAAGTCTTTTACAAGGGAGATGTCCCTGTCTACTGTCTTGTCTACTGGGTCAATCAGCTGTAGAAGATAAAGAAGAGTGAAATTAAGAAGGACGGGGCATGTGTAAATAAAGAACAGTTAGCTGGAACAACTTCAGTCAGATAACCCATTTTCCTGATTACACAAAAAATCAAAGAACAGGCCGATTTCAATTCCAAGTTTGAAAGCATAGTTGTAGATTATGACTGAGCGTAGACAGTATATGAAACTGTTTAGTCAAGGAAGTGGAGCAGATTCCATATCATAGTTACATGTGTGCAAACTACACATCACTCAAATTCCTAATAAAAGCACCTCCAAGATCATCAGTACTCATCACACACAGGCACACGAGCTAGTGTAAAGTCGTCTTCCACATATCCCAGTTCCAGTCTCCTATGCCGTAATCAATTAAGCCGGTTCATTATAAGTAGCTTAAGGTAACTGCTAAAGCACGTTAACCCCACATCATCGCATCCATCAAACTGAGCGAAGATAATAAACATGGAAAGGAGGGAGCCCAATTTTGTTACCAGGGCAGGCTTGTCAGGGTGACCAACATCCGCGAGCAGGTAAGTGTAAGTGGAGGAGTCCTTCTCGAAGAGCTGGCGAAACAAGAGCTTGGTGGTGAGGTCGGAGGAGGTGCTGTAATCCATCATTGTGCTCATCGGAATCGCTCGGGTTCTCAATTGGGGGAAGGAGAAGGTTTGATGCCTAGGAGACAGAGAGCGCGGAGGATATGAGCAGAGGGCGGATAGTGAGAGGCGATGCAAGCTGACTCGAAGCATCGATATGCTGCGCTGAGCTGTTGCCCTTAGTTTATCACGTTGTTGTCTGTTCTAATTATAATATATTTCAATTCAATGAGAAGACGGGGTCGATTTTTTTATCCGATCTCGAGCTGGACGGAATCGGAAGATGCTGGTTTCGATTTCTTCTAGGAGTGGAGGACAAGAAATGGCAAGGTAACTTATAGGGAAGGGAAGCGACAACGTCGCCGTCGTTTGATGGCGACGCAGACAGGGGGAGGAGTGAGTGTTGTCAGCTGCGGAGGGATGGGCTAATATGCGGGGCGGTAGTGGGGTCTTGTCAACTAATTGGACTGGCTCTCTTCTTCGTTTTAGGTTCGTTTGCTTGTTGGATTTGAAAAAACGAGGGTTTTGGCCAATAAAAATCTTGAGATTTATGTTGGATTTATTGGATTATGGATTTGAAGAGTCTAATGTTTGCATGATAGATTTGATGATGGATTTGTGATGGATTTGTTAAATAAATAACTAACCATCAAGGATTTACAAATCTCAAATCAATATGTGGGATATACAAGTCCGTGAGGTCCACGAATTTGACTCCAAAATAAAGATCAAATCCGTGGACCCCCACGGATTTAGCATCCTTCAACAAACAATGGACTTATGTTAAATCCATAAAGCTTAGGATTTGGGTACCAAATCCATGACCCAAATCCAACAAGCAAACGACCCCTTAGTATTCGGAAGGATGATGATTTAGAAGCCGCAATGGCTAGGCAAGTATTTCAATAAATATATTCATCTCGTAGTAAGTTGGATATTTTATTATAAAGTGTTGATTTGAGTAGATCGATTTACATGTGTATGAAATTTAAGAGATTGTTTGCGTTATGGATTCCGTAATAGATTTGGGCATTAATTATGGATTTTGAGCAAAGTTCAATATTTGTTTAACGAAATTGGGAAAACCAAATTCGTGGATCTTATGGATTTGTAAGTTCCAACTTTTGGGGTGGGATTTGAATGATGAATTAAAGTCTATGATTGTAGTATACCCATCTATCCTCGCTTATTATTTTAATTGCAAATTTTTCCTTCTATTTTATTTCCATGGGTATGCAAATTGGTGGTATGTGACACAAACTGACCGGAATACCCTGAATAAAGTGGTAGTTAATATTGATAAATATCGGGAAAACCAGTGGTACAGCTGGTATGACAATTTTGAGCTCCTGACAAAATACCGCCTTTTGGGGAGTCTATTTCTTTTTTAAAAATTGTGTATTTGAATATGAAAATTTTTCATTTCATTTGCAATGTCGTATTTCATTTGAAAATGACAATTTATATTATTTATTGGATTCAACTATAAAAGTTTTGGATGTTGACGTATTTAAGTATAATGATTTGTTATTTCGTTTGTAATGTCGTATTTTATTTAAACGAGGGCAATAAGGTCAATTGTATTTCATAAGCCTATTTGAAACCCTACACCACTTTCGATACATCTTTGTCGGCTTGAATACTTATTCGACGCCTATGAATGCGTGTTCATTTATGTGAACTACTTGTTGGAAACTTTTGAGTACTGGTTCGACACTTTTGAATACTTTTTTGACTATATGTAAGACTGTAACACAAAGCAAACTAATATTAATATTAAGCATAGTAATATTAATATCTCACAGACTCATATTCATATTGCCTAGACTAATATTCTAAATGTGTTTCACCTCTTCTTCCACTCAGTTTTGTTTTTACTCCTCTATTTAGATTTCTAACACTTATTCTCATCTTGTGCATTATTGTTTAATTGAGTGTCGGATTCCAAGATTTGAGAGTTAGCAAGAAGATGATGAGTTGAAGCGAGAAAGCGAGCAACAAGTTGCAATTGATATACAATATTATGTACACTAGTTCTTAGCCCGCCGTTGGGTTTTATTTGGTTATTATTTTGCGTTGTATTGTTAAATTCTTTCTTTTTAGTTTTGGATGTAAGAAGTGGTGCTTGTATTTCTATATCGTTTGATTGTTTTTCTTTCGTGTTAGTTTTTCTTCATGTTTGAATTTCGGAATTAAAGTTGTTCTATTATTAGTATATTAGTTGTGTTCGAAACATTAGGCATAGTGTATTTATAGATTGAGTTTTTCAACCTCACATGAGAGATATTTTTGTAACCTATTGTTGCTATTTTTATATTTGATATGTGTAACATTTATACATTGAATCGTTAATATAATTTGTCTCTTCAAGTTCTTGTCTCACATATGTGAATCTTCTGTTTTTTTAAGGGAATTTAATTAGCTTAGCTTTTTGTAGATCTGTTTTTTGTTTAATTAGCTTTTGTCCATCGTTTAAGATTTAGGCATTGTCATAAGAACCAAAGCAGATCAATGATTGATCAGCAGAACCACTAAAGTAGTTATAATGCGGTTCAGTTTATTTGATTGGATGGTTAGAAATGAACAGAATGGTTTTTAAGGGTTTGGCATGAAACCGGATGACCACCTCGGTTTATTAGTCCTTTATTTCACTATTTTAACTATTAAAAATTATAAAAAAGAAGTTAACGTAAACTAAGGCCATCTCATGTTAATCACTGATTTTGTTTATGCTATTTTTATTCATTTTCCGCTGTTTATGATGAATGAAATTTAATTAGCTTAGCTTTCTGTAGACGTGTTTTTGCTTAATTAGCTTTTATCCACCGTTTAAGATTCAAGCATTAGACCAGCAGAATCACTAAAGTAGTTAAACAGCACTTCAGTTCATTTGATTAGAAGGCTAGAGATGGAACAAATGGTTTTTAAGGGTTTGGCATGAAACTAGATGACCACCTCGGTTTTATTGGTCCTTTATTTCACAATTTTAACTATTTAAAATTTATGAAAAATAAGTTAATTTAAATTAAGATCATCCCACCTTAATCACTAATTTTGTTTATGCTCTTTTTATTCATTCCTGTTGTTTATGATGAAGGGAATTTAATTATCTTGCCTTTCTGTAGACGTGTTTTTGTTTAATTAGCTTTGGTCCACCATTTAAATTTTAAGAATTGGACCAGCAAAACCACTAAAATAGTTATAATAGCGGTTCAGTTTATTTGAGTGGACGGCTAGAGATGGACCAAATGGTTTGTAAGGGTTTGACATAAAACCAGTTGACCACCTCGGTTTTACTGGTCCTTTATTTTACTATTTTAACTATTAAAAATTACGAAAAAAGAAGTTAATGTAAACTAATAGCATCTCACCTTAATCACTAATTTTGCTTATGATGTTTTTATTCATTTTCTAGCTTCCTTGTCGGATTAATCTTGTTCACTATGTATTGCCACCCTTTTATTTAGTAGAATTTAATTAAAATCTTTGTGATTTCTTTTCTAAGTTAGTTTAAAATTTTGTTAGAACTTTTTGGTGGGAGATGATATGGATTGGGGATTTTTATGGTTAGTGATAAATTCATTCTAAATTAAAGTGTTATTTTTTTATATTATAGCGCATTATAGGTTCTATCTACTGTTGACAAACGATTGTATAATGACTAATCATTGAATCATCAACAAATAACTTTTTGAGTTAGCATCGATCCGGGTATTAAAAAATTGAAATTATTATATGTAATTTAAATAACATGAGAAATTAAGTAATTTGTACTCCTCACGTTTTATACTATAATGGCCAATTAATGGGAACTTTTTGGATGACCAAGGTAGACAAACGAACCCACGCTTCAATTTTAGAATGGAAAAAATTGGGGAAGATTCATTTATATTCCAATGATGCGAGGGAGGCTGAGAGGCAGGCATGTGCTGATGTGGCATCACATTTGTTTCGAATCTCCAAAATATTAAGTAAGGATTATTAGATTAATTGTTAATTAGTGTCAGTTGTGATACATTTCTGTAGTTGAATTATTAGTTCATAGAGTAGTCGTAAAAGGTGAATTTTCTTTGTATGTATTGAATTTCTTTTTAATTGAAAGTTTGGATTATTATAGAAATATAACAACAACATAATTTATGTTTCATATCCAAAAATATAATCAAGTAAAATCAATAATAAAATCCAACAAGCAAGCAATAGACTATTAAATCAATAATGCAGGAGTGCCTGAGTTGGATTGGAATTTCATTTTTGCAGGTGGCTTACAAGGATGGCATGAAGACAAATATTGCATGAAAAATGTCTATTCTTGTGCATCTGTACGTGGTCTACATGAGGAATGGAATTTGGAGGAAGAGGATTGGTGGGTCGTTGAATTCATGCGCGGAAAGCTGGATGAAGCGGCTGGAGCTAGTGTTGTTGAATTCGTTCAAGTCCCATAACGTAATTGGAAGCGTCGTAAACGAGATCGATTTCGGCGGGCATACACTCTCTTTGTTGTCATCAATACGTGGGAGCGATTCTTTTTCATCGATCCGGGTTGAGATGATGCTTAAACTTCGGGGACGAAGTTTTTCAAAGGGGGAGGTTTGGTGCATTATAACTCCCGTGGGCTGTAGTGCCGAGTTGGTCTTAGTGATTAGAGATTATTATTAGTTATTTGTTGGGTCATTATTGTTATTCGTATTAGTTTATTATGTCTTGTTGAGTAAGTTAGTGTTTACTTGTTGGAATAGGATGAGTTTACCTTGTTTGAGAGGGAAAGGGTTTGTGAGAGAGTCCTATAAATATGTACTTTCTGGTTCAGTAATGAATAAGAAGAAGATTATTCCAGTAATTATCGTAGTTGTTTAGGAGTAGAAGTAAAGTAATTTAGCGATTCACGACGCGTGAATTCTATCATGCGCTAGCTTATCCCAAGAAACACCACCATCCCTACAACCCAAAAGTTCGAGACGGTCTTTAGCACGTCCTTCGACAACCAACAAGTTATGAACTTTAAGGTCTACCTAGGCGAAAGAAGCAAGGCAAGCCAAAACAAGCCCCTCGCCCAACTCGACTTCCCCAACCTTCCTGTTGGTCTCAAAGGCGTCGAGAAGGTCACGCTCAGCCTCGACATCGACGCGAAAGGCGCCCTAAACGTACTTGCCGAGCACCAAGCCACCGGTCGGAATCTGAAGCTGGTCGTGGAAGGCGTCGGGGTGAAGGGCAAGCTGATGGTGACAGATGAAGAAGTGGAGAAGATGGTTCGAGAAGGAGAAGAGCACAAGCTGGAGAACGAAGAGTCCGCCAACAGGGCTGTTGCGGCGAGTGCAATGTTGTCTTATGCATGCGCCATGACGACGAGAGGAGGTCATCAGACGACATAGGGAAGATGTTGAACGAGTTTAAAGAGAAGGTGAAGGAGTTGGAGCGGTAAGGGGGACAAGATGTTTCGAAATAGCTTAAATTTTTTTTTCTTTTATTCCCTTGTTATGAATCATAGGTGAATGAGTTTGGAGTTCTCAGCATTTTCTTTTGTAAGAATTTTGTTAATTTTTATTTGCTTCCTAGCATTGATCACTTTTCTGGATGTTTTCAATTGATTTAAATTGTTATTGCGCCAAAGGTAACATAGCCTAGTGGTGAAACCAATGGACCAATTGAACTCTGGATGTGGAAGGTCTTGAGTTCGATTCCCAGTAGCGCCACTTGAGCGTTCCCGGCGGCACCCTTGGTATCGAAGGCGAAGCCACCCCGATGTTGGTAGCAGAATGCCCGGGTTGGATCAGGTCCTTAAGGCCATTTTTTTAAGGAAAATCTTAAACCCCGTTCAGCCAATAGGAGAAGGAGAGAGAGAGTGATTAGTAATGATTGGTTAACTACCTACCTAATACGTTAAAGGGTAAGTTAGGAATATTAAAAGGTAATTAAATGCCATCATTAATTAAGAAACGAGAGGAAAAAGAAACTCCTTCCAACCCTAAACCCTTTCATCTTCGTTTTCTCGTCTGCTGTGCGGCGCTTGCGTTCCGGCGTCGTCGTCCCGTTATTTAGTTTTGCGTCTGTCGTCGTCGCAAAGAAGGCCGGTCTTCGTCACCTTCTCGTCGCAAAGAAGGCGAGTGACGTCGTCGTCTCCTTCTCTTCTGCTTTCCGGCGTCGTCGGGGTCGTCGTCGTCTCAAAGTAGGCCGTCGTCGTCTGGATTCCGACTGGTCGGGGTCTCCTTTTCTTCTGGGTTCTGAAAAATATTCTCGTTTTCCGGCGTCGTCTGGTTCGTGGGTGTCCTTTAGTCTCGTTTTCCATGGGATCGTCAAGGCCAAAAGACGTTATTTTTGGTAAGTTTTTACTAATACAGACGCATCTTTGGATGCCTATATGTTTAATAAAACAGACCAGAGTTGTCAACAATTTATGTTAATAACTTGGTGTGGGATTAATAATAATGCCTTCTTTAACTGTTAATAAATGTTGTTTTTTAATTAATAATCACACTTAGTAATGATTGGTTAACTATTCTGTTTTAATTAATAATCAACTTTGCATGTAATCACGCAATACACTATTGTTAAACATATTATCAATATATTCATAAACGAGTATTAATAAAACAGAATAGTGTTGTTAACATTTTAAGTTAATAACTTGTTGTGGGATTAATAATAATCCCTTTGTAAACTGTTAATATTGGTGGTGTTTCAATTAATAATCAACGTTGCATGTAATCAGGTCATTACTATTGTTAAACATATTATCAATATCTTCTTAAACCAGTATTAACCGATAACACCAATTTATTAATAGTACTTTTTAACTGATAATACCAATTTATTAATAATCGAAGTGTTTAACTTAATAATCCACTTTGAACGTAAAAATGTTCGTTGTTTTAAATTATTAATTTAAAAGGACATGGTTAATAGTAAAGTTTGCATGAATAATTTCATTTAAGTGCTTTGTAATTGTTTATTTAATAATCGGAGAATGAATATTAATAATGAAGTGGATAGTTGTTAATATTTAAAGGTAATAGTTTTGTTAATTTGTCAACGTTGCAGATCTGAATGAAGTACCTTGTGATGTCAACCTGGAAGGTGAAGATATTTCCAATAACAATGACTTAAGCGAAGACGAGATTATCGTAGAAAATCTATATGCGGAAGGAGAAGGTTAGTTGACTAATCTTGTATATATGTGGAATGTTAAAACTCGTGCAAATGACATAATGTATTCAATGTTGCAGGAGTGGTGGATGATGTTCATACGAATGATGGTAGTGCTATACCTGTCATGGACATTCGTGATTTTAATATTGATAACATGGGTAAGTCGAATTTATAACAATCTTATTAACAAGTAAACAAAAAATGCACCATTATTAACTAATTTCGTGATAATTTCTGTAGAGATTGATTTGGTTGATCCTGCAAATTAATCGACATGGATAGAGCGTAGATTTGTGTCCAGGGATCATGCAGAGTCATTCTATAAAGAATATGCACATCACAAAGGCTTTGGCATGAGGAAGGAAGGCGCTCCTAAGAGGAACACAAAGAATGAGTTTTGTGAGACTGCTCACTACATCTATTGCGCATGTACGAAAGGAGGCTACAGAAAAAAAAGCGCGAAGAATCCAAAGAATGGAGGACGAATTGATAATACTGTTCGGAAAAGGAGTAGGGCAGAGAATAGATGGGGGTGTCCAGCGAGGATGAACTTCAAGTTGGATAAACGAACCAACCTCTATTACATTGATGATTGGGTAGATGAGCACAATCATGAGATGCACGACCCATCGGCCAAGCATCTCCATCGTTCTAACAGGAATATCACTGAAGCACAACTTTGTATTGCTAAAATGAACGAGGCTGCAGGTATAAAAACACGGGCTAGCTATGCTACATTCTGCTTAGCTGCTGGTGGTAGGGAGAATGTTGGTTTCCTGCCAGAGGACTTGAAGAATTGCATTAGAACAGTGAGGGCGAAGACAATGGAGTATGGGGTGGCCACATTCCTGTATCGACACTTTCAGGAGGAACAGAGATGTGATCCCTCCTTCTTTTATAGGGTGTCAGTGGACGTGAACGAGGAGATGTCTGCAGTATTTTGGGCTGATGGAAGAATGAGAATGGACTACCATCACTTTGGGGATTCAATAAGTTTCGACACCACCTATCGAACGAATCAAAATTGTCGCCCGTTAGGTATGTGTTTGGTACCATTATTAATTATATTATACTCATTATCAAGCTCGTGCATGTAGACTTGTAAATTTTTAAGTATACTATAATCATTAATAATTGCCCATAATAATAATTATCTAGATATATTGTACTCTGTTAATAATTACCCATAAAAGCATTAATACTTTAAGTAAATGACTTGTGGGTGTTGGTCATTGGCCATAAAATCGTTAATACTATAAGTAAAAATCTTAATAATGTAAGTGAAAAGATTAATAATCTTGTTGTGAATGTTGGTCTCATGAAAGAATTGATGTTAAATCAGTAATTACACTATACAGATTATCAATTTTTTACTATGAATACCGTTCCATAAATAATAGGGTCTTAAACCCGTTATCAATTTTTTGCAGCTCTATTTGTTGGATTCAATCACCATAGAAAACTCTGTGTGTTTGGAGCTGCTCTACTGTATGACGAGACTACGGAGTCGTTCGAGTGGTTGTTTAGAACTTTTCTGGAGTGCATGTCTGGAAAGAGACCAACATCGATCTTCACGGACCAGGCTGCTGCAATTGCTGCTGGTATTAAAAGCGCCATCAATAACGATATATCGGATGAGAAGACTTTTCATGGGCTTTGCACATACCATCTTAGAGAGAATGGGAAGGACAAGAAGGTTTGGAAAGGTAAAGTGGCTGAATGTATTAGCTACTTGATGTATGATGTGGAGACACCCGAGCAATTTGATTTCCACTGGGAAGAAATGATGGCGACAGTCTCAGTGGGATTGCCAAAGAAGCAAGTTAGATGGTTGAACCGTATGTTTAAGGTGAAGGAGAAATGGTCAGCCGCATGGGTGAACAAGCAATTCACTGCTGGAATGCGGAGTTCACAGCTGAGTGAGGCATGCAACTCCGTCCTCCGTGAGTTTTTGACCACCGATGAAAATCTACACCAGTTTTTCACACAATTTAACGCGATGTTGGAGATAAAAAGAGCTCAAGAAGTGCGCAGTGATTATGATGCGCGCGACCAGCTGCAAAACATCGTGGTACGTTGTTAAATTTATAGCTATATTGTAATCTGTTAATAATTGCCCAAAAAAATCAGTAATACTGTAAGTAAATGACTTGTAGGTGTTAATAATTGGACACAAAATCAGTAATAATGTACGTAAATATGTTAATAATGTGAATGAAAAGATTAATGATATTGTTGTTAATGTTGTGTGTTGATATTTGTAGCTATATTGTACAAAGTAAATAATTGCCCATAAAAGCATTAATACTGTAAGTAAATGACTTTTGTGTGTACGTAATTGGCCATAAATCAGTAATAATGTAAGTAAAAATTTTAATAATGTAGGGGGAAAATATTAATAATCTTGTTGGTATTATTGTTTGATAATAATCCAAATGATTAAGCTAATAATATTTTCGTTTTTATTACTGATTTATGGCCAATTACATACAAAAGCTCCATGTCGAAGACATAACCAATCGAATTTTTAGTTGATAATAAGGTCGAAAAATCTTGGTAATGTAAACAATAACATTAATATTTATAAAAGGTAAGGTAGGGGGAAAATATTAATAATCGTGTTGGTATTATTTTTTGTTAATAATCCAAATGATTAAGCTAATAATAATTTCGTTTTTATTGATAATTATCAACTGGCAGGTACATCAAAGTAATTTCCTTCAACAAGGAGCTAGCTTCTACACGCCAACTGTTTTTGAAGAGTTCCAGGAGGAATATGCTAATAGTCATGCCTTCCATATCGGTATAAATGCGGAAAGACATCAAGATGACATGGTTGCATATGATGTCTGGAAAAGCGATGAAAATGATGGATCGAAGTTGGACGAGAGGGTTGTATTCGTTGATGTACCACGGTGCATTCTCAAATGCTCGTGCATGAAATTTGAGAGCTGTGGTTGGTTGTGTCGGCACATACTACGGTTCATGGAACTAAAGCGTTATGCAGAATATCCGCAACTGTCAACAATTCCGTCGAGCTACCTATTAGACCGATGGTCACGTGCTGTGAAGACAAAAGGCGGTTTTGCAACATTGAATTCGAGGCCTACATTTGAAGGTATCCAATGCTCAAGGGTGAAGGAGGTAACTGGAATGGTGAACTCTATTGTAACAAATGTATGCATGCATGATAGCGTATACGAGTTCCTACTACAAAGTCTTCACACTATAAAATCCCAAACAGAAGCAATGCTCAAGGACACCCTTGCACC